TCAACGGAATACATGCTTGCAGCACTGGAACGAGACGGTTATGTATTTATGAACAAAGCTGAAGTGGAGCAGTGCCAAACATACGAAGACATGCTGATCTGCGAGAACATTAAACAACTTTCAACGGAAGCCACATGTGAGTGGAATATGCTAAACAACATTCAAAGTTTGGAGAATTGTAATGTGGTAGAAACAGAAAAAAGAGCATACTTCATTGATCTATCAGTAACCAATGCTTGGATATTCGTAACACCAGTAGAATATAATGCTGCAATCATCTGCGGCGAGAAAGTGGAACACATAACACTGGAAAATGAAGGCATTCTTGATTTACAACAAGGCTGCACACTCAAACATTTTGGTGGGCAGTTATGGACCCAAAAGGAGGCCGGAGAGGGTACCATGAGCATCATTGTGCCCAAGATAAATGTTTCAATAGACTCCATGCAACACAAACCGCATTTGGTCAACTTTACGCGCACGATGCTATCCAACTTCACACAACTACAACAACAATTGGATAACATCAAGGAGCAACAAGAGCTCCCCAACAACATCGACGGTCATGATATTCATCATTATACAGCTATATATGTCATGATCGGTGTCATCATAACCTACGTAATATTGAGGAAATTGACGAAACGTAAGCCAAACAAACGGATGAGTTTGATATCAATGCCCGCAATACCGCAACCACTAGACGTCCCAGAAGAGCGCGACGTCACGGGGGGAATCACCGCCGCGGGGGAGAATGTGTAACGAACCGTACACAAAAGAATGCATACAATATAATATATATCATACAATTCAATACATACAAACAATTAATTCATTCATTCAAACATTATAATTCATGCATCAGCATAATGACCGATTTGACAAACAATTCATTCTTATTAAAACAGTTGCAATTACAAAGTAACCCAAACCTGTTGTGTTTTTATATTATTATTAATCCACAGCTCATTGGATAATAGGTAAATTAAATATATTATTCAGACTTCAATTAGATACTCGAATAAAATTCAATTTTAACTCTTTATTTCGAATGAAATCGTTTTCATAGAGATTTTTACGTAACATTTGGATCAAATCAATTTGAGCTTATATTTTGAATAAACCAATCTACGTATTTTCATCCATGAGCAAAATAACAGACAGGAAATCAATCCGTAATATGGCACAATGAATATGGATAAGATCTCCTGGATGATAGTAAGTGACGAATTTTGACAACATCTTCTTTTTATTAAATATTGGTATAAAGAAAATAAAAATGATTGAGAGTGAATGTATTTTAGTCATCGCTCTCAGTTTAGTGTTGACGCTTTTAACGAAGGAAAACCGTGTAATATATATGGTTCGTTTGCCATATGTTTGCTTGCTTGCCGCTAGATAGGCGACGCAGGCAAGCAAATTGCTTGTAGCAAGCCAAACCACAAGCACTGAATAACACCCATTAAATAATATGCGGAAGCCAATCGTGATTTAGATGATAAGGAATGCGAATTTTATCATTCTGATTTCACCAGGTGATACAGAAAATTGTAATTTTGTGGTAACAGCACACCCAGTCATTTGTGTGGAATCTATAGAGGCCTGTGGTGATACCAATGCTGGAGCTTGCTTGGGAAAGAGTTGCTCCCATAATCCAAATATCTAAAATGAATTCAAAACAAAAAGGAACAAATTAAAACCAAGTATTTCGATTGAAATTTTGAAAAAAAGAAACGAACCTTTTGATTAATCGTACAATAAGACAGTGTTGTATTCACTCGAATGCCAAAACAATTCTCTTGTGGATTCAATGCATAGCATCGAATCAAATCGTCGCTGAATGGATTTCGATTGACCGAATCGTTGAATGATGATGTTTCCGTAATTTTCTGATCAAATTCATTTTGTTTGATAAATTGAATGATGTCACCTTGCTTTGTATTTACATTGACTATCGAAAATGGTTTTTCATTTTCGTGCTTTGTCACACGTGCCAATTGTTTTTTCACAATGTACGGAATCAGTTCACCTTTCAGTGAAAATACTTGCATATTCTGTGGAAATGTAGAAAATTGAAATTTCATTTGCGCGCCCAACTCGACTCCATAAGGATATTCAAAACGTACCGTTTTCAAGTAGTCAATGACCCATTTCTTAATAATGTAAATATGCGAATCGATTAAGCGACTGTGCATTGTGATGTGACCATATCGATGCAGCAAATGGTATGGCAAATTCAATGTTTCATCATAGTCACTGGTCGACGCAAGGAACGCCAAACGTTGTGTACCCGGTTGAATTCGAATCAAATCACGATCTAATGAAAATGCTTATGTTTTGTTTTCGGCCCCGGCACAATAGTATCGGCTTCCAATCCGCCTTTGAACAATTGAGCCACAATCGATGCATTCGTCTTTCGGAAATAGTTCAGCATTGAGAACAGATCGATGTTTGTGATGTTGTCTGAAAAATCACACAAAATACCGTTGATAAAAGTGTGCAATTTTACATTGAAAGAGAGTAGTACGATTGATATTTAAGGTTCACAAGATGTTCGAGCATCGGCCACGGCCAAAGCAACCGATCGTCAAAACGTGGCGATCAATAGTATCATAAATATTATTCGAAGATAAAAACAACAATAACAAAATGTGTCATTTGTTAAAGTATTGATCATCTGTCATTTATTCTTTTTCATAATGCTCAAACGTAGTTGAACGCTGGTACCATTCGAAAGCAATAATTGTACCCAATATTGGCTGAACACTTTAACGGCCATTTTTTTTTGGCATAAACAAAAAAATTGGCCCCGAATCGTTCCATCAATTCACTCATTTCCTATCCGTCATACACACAAAATTTACTTTTCAAACACACAGAAAATATACGTATTATTTCTTTGGTTCTTTCTTATTAAAATAGTTTGAGCTCTATAGTTTCCAGTGATAAATATGTAGCAGCTACACGGGAACATCGAGTACAGTGTGTGTTGATTACGACTTGCGGCAATATCGTTGACATATACACAAGAGAGAGAGTAGGAGAAATCGAGTGTGTTAATGATGAAAACGCGTAACGATGCAGATGTCAAATTTTTTTTCGGACCAGTTCAACTTAAAACTGAACCAAAATCAAATACAGACAGCAACAACAATGGCAGCCACTCATTAAGATAAATTATAAAAAAAATTGTTTGTACAATGGTGATTACATATACGTTCATATTTTAGTCAAAATAGAAAAAAGAAATGTATCACAAATGGTACAAGCATGCAAATTTTAATCATTAAGTTGCCATTTCAAATCATTCTTCTCGTGGAAACAACGAATTTGAAAAATTTCATCGTAAAAAGCGAGAAAAAAAATGGCTGGCTCTTTTGTTCTAATTATCATTTGTGTGATTTAGAACAAAATGTGTTCCCATTGATGTTGGATGGTTGCGTTCAATGTGGCCTTTTTCCGCATTGTGTATTTTGCTGTGTAATTGTTTACGTTTTGTGACGACCACTCACAAATCGGCTGACGGTATATGTCAAAATTGAATTGTCATTGTGTGCTCGTTGCATTTGTATGGCATGGAGCATTGTATGTGTGAAAGGGAACAAATTATGATGAGAATGATGATTAAAGACATACATGGGAAACGCGCACACACAAAAAAACAGCGCGCGCTTCACGCACACATGGTGCAAATATATTATTTTTTTTTATTTGCCGAATTGAAATATTGAGTATAGAACCGATTTTGACATTTCAGTTCGAAAGCGCAAAAAAACCCCAAGTCAAAAATCGTGTGCAATCTTGCCTGCACACGAGTGTTTGGCATGTGTTGATTTTTCTCACCATTCACATGCATTCAATGTATCATTCGCATAAACCTGTTGGCGCGCTAATTTTGTGCTTTCGGATATCATAGACATTTCGGACTAATTTTTTCTTTGATTTTAGAACCAAACGAACGAGAGACATACACATATTTACGTCTATTAGAATTTGATTTTCGATTTTCTGTCTTTGTTTTTTGGTTTCATTGGTTTCTTTTTTTCTATTCATAAAAAATACTTAAATAATGAATGTTTGAACGGGTAACGGACAATGTTTTCATTTTTATTTATAAATTTAATTTTGATTTTATTATTTCATAAATAAAATGTTCGTTTTTCGGTGCTAAATTTTATCCCTTTGATAAAATATAGGATGACATGTCAAATTGAAAAATAATGCAAACTTTGAGTTTGATTTCAAAATCGAAACTAATTACAAGGAATTGTTTTACTAATTTGGAGTATAAGGATTCAAAATAAAAAAGATCTCTAAATGCATCGATATTCATGACATTGCAAACCACTCAACAACGAAATGAAAAATAATTTTTCAGATGTTGGATGGTTGAAATGAAATTACATGTAAATACAAGTTATTCAATATGGAAGCAAAATTTGGGTTGGCCATCGACATTAAAATATGAAAGAACCCAAGAATAGAGACACGGGGAGTCGCATATAGATACATACACAGTAAATGAAAAACTGATCCAAAGCGTCATTAAACGCATTCATTTGTCGTTCAAATTCGGATCGCTTGGAATTTTGAATGAAAGATTACCCTTGTATTTGAGCGCACACACATAGCGCTCGCAAGGAAACACACATGCATATACACAAAGTGTGTGTTGTTTGTTGAATGGTAGAGCGCTGTCGTCGTCGATGTTGTTTGTGTGATTACGTGTATGTATATTGTTGTGTGCGCTTCCGCATGTATTTGTATTGGTGCTGTGAACGCCATATACAAAATTCTGGTTGTGTACTAAAATGCATAGAACGACAACATCCATGTTCGTGAATATGCGAAAGTGTGTTAGTCGACTATTGAAACATGTATATTTGTTAGTTTTTTTCTCTCTTCATTTTTTTTCCAACACAAAAAAAAATATATTAGAAAAGAAAATTTTATTATTATTATTTTTTTTTTGTTTTCGTATTTAAGTAAATAAAATTTCGAAAAGTGATAACTTTTTTCTACCCGCTAGCAAATAATTTCGAAAGTGAAAATATCAATCTAGTAAATAACCATTTTGCCGTATTCGTTTACACCATATATTTAAAAAAAAAGTTGAAAAGAAGAGAATCTACTTCCCGAAATTTTAAACATAACAAGGAATACACACAATCGATTTGTTTGCGATACGAAAGAAGAAAATATTTCTTATAAAATAATACACGATATACACACATTGAGAGAAAATTGATAGAACGAGTGAGTGAGAATGCAATGAAATTTTCAAAAAGCGAAAACGATTTTACTTCGATATCGAAGAAATACAAAACATCAACAGCAAAAAAAAACCGATGAAATGACAATGAGTTTTTGTTTTTAACCATTTGATTTCCAAATGGTAATGTGCGAGTAATTTTATAAAGAGCGTGTGTTTTGTGTAAAAAAAATTTGAGCAATCATTTAACAGTTCGGAAATAGAAAATCAAAAACAAAAAAAATAAGGGACATTTTTGTCGGGAAATTATAGAATACAAAAATCTATAGATTTTTTTAAGAGGAAAACAGTAACATCAAGCATATATAGAGAGCGTAAAGCGTACGTGTGTATGTGTCAGTGTGTGAGAGCAAACCCAACAGAAAAAGAGTTTTTTTTTATCACAGAGAATTCAACAATGGCCGCCGTGAATCAAAAATAATGGATTCGAGTACATATAGAGAGAATTAAATATGCGATGTGTGTGTAGACTCTCATACATAAAAAAAGAAAATGAAAGAGAATTAAAAAAAGAACCATAAAATGAGCAATATGACTTAAAGCGACTGAATGAAAAAAAACTGATCCAAAAACTAGGAAAACGCATTAGAATTTCCATTTCCATGTGAAATTGTTTTTAGTTGCATTGGAGGCAAAGAAAAATATAAACGAATGAAAACCATAATAATAGTAATAAATGTAAAAAATAATAATAACAGTAATAAGTCAAACGAGATACACAAAAACATTTATACAAACACACGAACACACATTGAACGAAACACACACACAAACACACACACTGGCTGTCGGTGATGAAATTACAAAAAAAAAACTAAAATTAAATAAAACGAAAGAATCCTCACTTAAACGAACGACAGGAAAAAATTACTAAAATGCAATCAATTTTATGCATTAATTCCTGTCAATTATTTACATAAAACAATTTTTGTTTACTGTCAATCGAAGTCACAAATCAATCGCCGCATCCAAAAAAGTGAAAACGCAATCAAATTAATCAACAGAAGTCAGCATTTTTGTTGCTATCTCTTTCATTCGCGACCAAACACTAAATTTCAATATTCAGTTCCAAAACAATTATCCGCAGCGTTTTGATTTTTAAAACATTGATGAAAACCACCAAAAACGATTTTTTTTTTATTGTTTGAAGGAAAAAAAAGCAACAATTCAATAAATAATAAAAAGAATGTGAAACATCGCGTGAAACCATAGTTGTTCCGAAACAACAACAAAAATGTTTTTGTCAATGTCGCGAGAACGATAATCACTTAGTAGTTTCCATAATAAAATCGTTCGTTTAATATTTCCAAAATTCAGTGTGTATGTGAGTGCGTGTTTGTGTGAAATGTCGATGCAATTCATGCAATTCAAAATGTGCGTTGTGTAGTAATTATTGAATGAGATGATAAATCAAGAACGAAAATTTGATTAAAAAAAAATTAGCTCTGTCAAAATCAAAGAAAACCACCTTTTCAAAAACGATCGTTTTGTTTTTCGTGTTTCGGCTAGGAAAATTCGGCGTGTGTGTTCCTTATATATCAAGTTCACTCGATAGGAACCAAAAAAAAAGATATCAATTTTGTTGTTCGGACACTAATTTTTTTTCCTTCTTTTATTACTCTATTATTATTCCGTCTAGAAAGTCGGTGTGACAACACGAAATTTCAGCGAACCAAAATAAAACAAAAAGTTAGATCGAATTGAAAAGAGAACAGAAGAGAAAAATTGAGAAAAAAAATTAAAAAGAATCATTCACAAGAGCAAAAAAGGAGACTAGCATCACGTATATTACGATTGTTTTTACAAGATTTTTTTTTTCTTCATAAATTGTCGACTATGATTACTGTTGTTGTTGCAGCCGCGGCGTGAAGTTTAACACATTTCTTTCTTACTAGAAACAAAAAGCAACACAATTATTCATTGGTATAGTCTCTCGTTGAAAATTTTCTTTTTCAATTTTTCATTTTTAATTCATCATTTTGTATTTGTGTGTCGTTATTGTGATTGTCCAAAAATTTTAGTCAATATAAAAATTCATTCAAGCGTTTTTTGATTTTCATTCAAATGCCTGATAAAATCGTAGACGATACACATATATCATTTTTGGTTTGTTTTAACGTGTGAAAATCGTGTGTCAACCATTTGATACTCTTCATAATAGTTTGATCGCGGTACAGTGAGGTGTTTGTATGTTGTAACGTACGCACATACAAACATTTTGTGTTGTGTGTTTAATTTGTTTAGGACAATTAGAAGAAAAAAATATAGCTAATATAATCCCCATTTTTTTTTTTAATAATAATTGTGCCTCCATTTAGATTATGTCTTGATAAAACATTTTTTGTAAACTATAGTTTAGTTAGATGTTTTTTTTGATAATTATTTTTTTTTATTTAGTAGTTGAATAGAATTGTGCGCTAGTGTTTGTTATTGTGTGTATGGTAAATGTAATTGATTAGTTGTTTATTAGAATTATCGATGATCAAATAAATTTTGAACCGGTAATTAAAACATGTTATGCTTAAAACATCCAGTTAAATTTTGATAAATGACCAACAAAAAATCATGTGTGTATTCGTTAAAAATCGAACTAAATAAAAATAATCATTTTTTTCTTTCGTCCATTGCCGAATTGTGAAGTAACCGAAAAAGTGCGCGCGCTTCAGAGCCAAATGAACACTATTTTGATCTAATCCATTATGAAATATACTAGTTTAAAATTCAAACGTCATATATTCATAATATTCATTATTTTGTGCTCTCTTTTTTCCCCCCATTATTTATCCAAACAGAAAATCTCTATTGAAAATGGCCAAAATACATTTCGACTAGAATCACACAAAATTTGAAATGTGGTAAAAGACGCGTAACAACGCAAATCGTCTTTTCATTTTCTACACATAGATTTATATAAAATACATTTAAAACAAAATACACGATTCAGAATCAAAATAGTTTAAAGAAAAAAAACATACACAAATAAAACAGAAAAATATGGATATTCAAGAAGTTACACTCGACGATGACTATGATGATGGATCTGAAGACGGAGAAAATGAATTTGATTTTTTAAGTTCAACAGCTATTCAACCGATTTCACGTAAGAATACAGTATTTTTTACAAGTCAACACAAAACCACATCAAGTGTATCGAATATTTAAAACAAAAAAAAAATCGAATATGAAAAGTGCGTAAACAGTGTTAACTAAACAGCATATTTCAATCACAATGTATCAATGAGCTTATTTTTTTCATTAAAAAAACAGGCAAATTTATATGGAAAATTATGACCCTTTTAATGTGAGGGGTTAATGGGCTCAATTTACAAAACATTTTATTGTATTAACCAAAAGCAATTGCATATATTGACGGTTGCCCTTGATTTTCGCATTCATTTTGTTTTTGAAAATGTTGGCCAGAAAAGTTTGATTCGGAGATCCTGAGTTGGATTTTTGCCAATGGCCAACGGTCTATGATAACATTTTTTTTGCTCTTTCATGCTTTTGCTTGCAATTTTCAAATCGGCAAACCGACAAAATATATGTGACCAATGTCTTTATTCTACCGCGATGACAGCTTTGCTTACATTTAACGATTGACTGTCGAAGTGACATTTCGAAGCGTGTGTGTATGTCAAGCGATGCGACTGACATTTCTAGTAATTAAAATGGACTAGAAAATAACTCTAATAGTCGTTCGCGTATATTTCATTATTTTTTGTGTCGTCACGAACATAAACATGGGCCATAAACTTAATTTTACTTACTACAATTTTTTTTTTGTGAATTTCTTGTAGTTTTAGCGTAAACATTTATTTGAACAAAAAAAAAAACAACCGTATTGGTTTGTCTACGAATTTTGTACTGTATTATTTAGATATTTTTAATTTGCTCTTATAAATTTTGTGAGCATTCTATTTTAATGCAATTTGGGAGTTGAGGTAGTGCATTTCTGATCAGAAAGTAATTACAGTTCGGCAATAGCAAAAGGCATCGAATTTCGAATGCTCTTTTTTCTGTTCGAAGAACGAATTCACAAAAATTGAGCACTTTTTTGTAATCGAAATGCAGTGCATTGATTCACAATGCAATCGCTTTAGTTATTAAGGTTTTTTTTTTTGTGAAAAAGCTTGAATTATTTTTTATTTTTTATCGATTTAATACATTGTTGAGCATGGAAATTTCATTTTATTTTTCGAATTGCATTCGAACCATTTTTATGCTTGTGTGTGAGAGTGACCATATTTTGCACGATATAAACAAATGAACACACTAGACACACTCACATTTTAAAACTAATCAAATTTACATTTTATATATCATTAAAAAATGCGATTGCTTCTTGAACATTTTGAACCATTTGTATTTTTATCTCTTTCTCTTCTCCTTCTGTTGACCATCATACAGGAACAGAATCATCGTCCCCATTTTTAGGTGAAGAATCGTCGATTTCACCAAATTCACAAAACGTTTTTTATTCCAGTGGCATTTCAAGTCACAATATAAACGATAATTCAAACAGTAACGGTCAATTAAACACAGCAAAACCAACAACAGTAAGTACAGATTTATGGAAGACTTACATCATTTGATTTAAACAACAACAAAAAACCACCATCATTTTGTTTGCAGAACGGAGGAAGAAAAAGGGGACCAGGTAGGCCGCGCAAAGATTTTCCATTGCACGTACCAACAGCGAAAGCACCACGACGGGGTGGTGGCGCCGGCAATCGTATCGTAAAACGTGCATGCGATGAAATCAGCAGCCGCGTACCCAAACCCATGCGACGCAATCACACAGCTGGAGGATCGAAAGCAACAGGTACCACATCAAACTCCTCTATCTCCCATTCTTTTGTTGGTTGACTTCAAAAGTGAAAACTAACCCTAAGAAAGGCCAACGATCACTTTTATGATACTTAATCAATGAAAATTGAACAATGGTTTCATTTCGAATTTCAGCGAATACAAACGCAACTACAGCATCAGTAACGACTCAGGAAAATAATAGTTTTATGTCTAATGTAATGTTACTGTCACCATTCAACGATGACGGTAGTAATAGTTTAACGTCGACGCCAAGTGTAGCAATGGAAACAGATCAATCGGTTTATGATCTGCAAAGAGACATGCAGCAACGACCAGCTGGTGAGTATTGGAAAAAAAGATGACAAAAAAACTTGAGGGAGCAGTCAAGAATGAATTTTTCTTTATTTTAACGGTGGATTTTTTTTTATTTTGTCATCGTTTAGCTCCAGTCGTTGCTGCAAGCACAACGGCAACCTCAAATAGTGGAGGTGGAGGTGGAGTAGTAGAAAAAGTGATGCAACCACCGGAAGAATTGCCGTATTTTCCAGAAAAGTGGCCGGGTAAAGTGTGTGCATTATGCTGTTTAGGCGAACGTAGTCAAATGGGACAAGGTGAAATGTTACGAATCGAAGTAACACAAAGTGAACCAAAATTAGCAACACCATCAACACCAATTCATGATTCGTCACAAATAAATCAAGAGGAAGAGAGAAATCCACGCAGTGCGTCAAACGCTCAAACCCAACTAAGTAATCGACGTCAAAAGGGTCTTAATAAATGCAAGTAAGTATGAATGCCATATGAAAATATGGAATAAAAATTCAAATCATCGATATGATAATTGTTTCTCTTCTCTCTCATCATTCCTAGAAATCCCGTACTGACAACGGAATATGTTGATGAGCTAGAAAAAATTGGTTATCCGGAGATTGTTGAATTTTCGAGCTTAATTGAAGGTGGCTACTATTACATTCATCGCACATGTGCTTTATGGTCAATGGGAATAACCAGGGATCTAACGACCGGCGTTTTTGAAAATGTTGATGACGTTGTGTCACAAAGTTTGACACGCAAGTGTTCATTTTGTAATCGATACGGTGCGCATATGGCATGTAAAATGTCTTGTCCGAAATATTTTCATTTACCGTGTGTTGCCGCATCGGGTGGTTTTCAAATCATACAAAATTTCACGGCATTTTGTAAAGAACATTTAGGTCAAGTGCCATTAGTATATAATGATATAGAAGATATAAATTGTCGTGTGTGCAGCGGTTTGGGCGATGTATCAAATTTGATGATATGCTCGATATGTGGCGATCATTATCATGGACCATGCATTGGTGTTGCACAATTGCCAGGTGAGTTAATGATTTTCTTTTAAGAACCGCCTCGATCCGCAGTATGAAACGTCCGAATTGAACATTTTCTAATAAATCGATATTATGCGGCTTTATCAACAGGAGTTCGAGCTGGTTGGCAATGTAAATCGTGTCGTAGATGTCAAATATGTCGTGTACCTGATGCTAAACAAGCCGATGGACGTTCACTGTGCTGTGAACAATGTGATAAAATGTATCACGCCAATTGTTTACGACCAGTTATGACTTCAATACCAAAATATGGATGGAAGTGCCGAGTAAGTATAGTATAAAATTATTTTTATGATTTACATTTTTCTCTCTACCCCGTTTCATTTCGTCTATATCAAATTGATTTGGCAATAAAAATTGAAATCTTTAATTGAAATATTGTCATTTATTTCATTCAAAATGAATAGTGCTGTAGAGTTTGTTCCGATTGTGGGTCACGAACGCCAGGCGCTGGAACTTCATCACGATGGCATGCACATTATACCGTGTGTGATTCGTGCTATCAGCAAAGAAACAAAGGATTTCAATGTCCAATTTGTCAAAGAGCTTATCGAGCGGCTGCTTATCGAGAAATGGTAAAATGCAGCAAGTGCAATAAATTTGTTCATAGTGATTGCGATCCGGAAGCAAGTCTAACAACATATCATGCAAAAAAGGAGGCCGATTCTGATTATGAATACATGTGTCCAACGTGTAAAGCAAAAGTTCAAAATGGTCTGAAAATGAATGCGATTCAACGACGAAACAATAATATTGACGATGATAATATGTCAGCGTCACAAGAGAGTCTGGGCGATGGTGATCATTCAGATAACGTATCGATGGCATCTATCTCAGCATCCGAGTCATCTGAAAAATTGTCGTCTGATTTTGGTTTGGGCAAAGGTAAACCATTGTCGGCCAATAAAATGATTGCGAAAAAACGTTTACCGGGCGTTGTTGGTCGGCCGAAAGGTGGTGGGAAATTTTCATTTCAAAAGAAACAGCGTACGGCTGAATTTGGACGAAAACGTGGCCCAAAGGCAAAAATGCGTGGTGTATTTGGTGTACCTGGTTTAGGATTACAACGTCCAACATCCGATTCAAATAATAAAGCCGACGAAGAGCCGGGCGTTGAAAATCGTTTGGTTTTGTGTTCGGCTAAAGATAAATTTGTGCTGACACAAGATATATGTGTAATGTGCGGCGCCATTGGAACCGATCAAGAGGGTTGCTTAATATCGTGCCTACAATGCGGTCAATGCTATCATCCGTATTGTGTAACAGTTAAAGTAACCAAAGTCATATTGCAACGTGGATGGCGATGCTTAGATTGTACGGTTTGTGAAGGCTGTGGCTCAAAAAATGACGAATCAAGGCTCATTTTATGCGATGATTGTGATATATCGTATCACATTTATTGCACCGATCCACCGCTCGAAATTGTGCCGGACGGCACATGGAAATGTAAATGGTGTGCAATGTGTCAGAAATGCGGTTCAAATACACCCGGATTAAATTGTACGTGGCAAAATAGTTTCACTGAATGTGGTCCATGTGCTAGTCAAAGTCAATGTGCCTTTTGTTCATACGCCTATAACGATGGAGAGCTTTTGATTCAGTGTACATACTGTGAACGATGGCTGCACGCAAACTGCGATGAAATAAAAAACGAAGAAGATGCCGAACGTTGTATTGAAGAAGGTTATAAATGCCGACTATGCCGTCCAAAGGATGCACTTCCACCACATTTGATACCTGTTAAAAAACCATTGCCAATCAATACAAATACCAAAGCGATTACCACTCCCACAACACCAAAATCAATTGATGATGGTCTGGGTGATTCCGCACCGCCAACAACATACGATGGCTTTCACATGGTTGACGGTGTTTCACTCAGTGATATCGGTGCACAACAAATAAAATCACTGCAAATGGAATTGGTGCGAAAGAAGCGAAAAACAAAAATATTGCCTATCGAAGCGCCACCTGTTAAGGCTCAAGAGGCTGGTATTATGGCAGCCATTGAATCAGTAGTGGCTGGCGGTAGTTTAGAGAATTCACTTGAAGATATTAAACTTGAACCGCTTGATCCACGTGAAGAGGCCGAAATTTATAAGGATGGTATGATATGGGATAAAGATTCAAGGCCACCAGAAGGATTTACCATTGGCACAAATGAACAGGGTGTATCGGTGTTGCGGAAGAAACGCCAACGAAACTTACAAAAATTAGGCATTGGCGGATTTGTAGTGCGAAATCGTACCGTTCGCAAAGATGGCACAAACAAAGATGAAGACGAAACGCCAGACGGTTCATTGCATTTTAGCACCACAATGGCCGAAGATAAAAAGAAACAAAATCGAAAAAAGATTAAAACAAAATTGGTCGACACATATCCAAGTTACTTACAAGAGGCCTTCTTCGGTAAAACTCTAATGACCGTACCGAAACCGATGAAATTCGAATCAAACAGCAGCAGTGAAGATGAAATGACCAAGAGCAATGTCACCGAAGACAAAACCATTCAATTGTCGACAGAGGAAATTAATATTTTGAATGCGCAACGTATGAAACAACAAAAATTGATGGAAGAAAAGAACAAACAGAATATAATGCTCGCAAACACAGTCACCACACCGCCAATCGGCCAAATAAAATCGCCGATTATTTCAAATGTTTCATTAAATTCAATTCGAATGAGTGGCATTAAAACGGATCCATCAACGGTGGTACAACAAGACACCGAAATGACCGATGTCTCGAATTTACCAGTGATCACTTCGAATGATGCAATTCGGAAGAATGAATTAAACGACATGGGTCTTGATAGTCTTGACTTCAAAATGGATACGAGCGCCATTTTGCCTGATGAGATGCAACAACAGCAACATCAACAGCAGCAGCAACATCAACAAAAAGTTCAACGGACAATCGTTCCAAATACTCAATTGGCACCACAAATTACCAAATTGCCACCAAATATTCAAGCAAACGTTGTTAAACAACAACAACAACAACAACAGCAGCAGCAGCAACCGCAACAACAACTTCCAATTCATGCGAATACTGTGCAAACAATGGTCGTCAATTCCATTCCGAAGAAGATACCTGAACCACAAAATCAACAACAAATGAATATGCAAACGGTGACCGTGTCGCAGCAGCAACAACAAACGGTCATTCCAACGCAAACAACCATTGAAAAATCCATTCAACCACCACCAATTCAGATGCAATTAAACCAAAGAGCCTTAACCAATCAGCCCCAACTAAACCAAACAATGCAATCACTATCTCAAATCGAGCCAATGCAACAGTCTCCAGCTGACAATAATATTACACAAAAAATTGGGTAAGTTTTCATTTTTCATATCTTTTCTACGGTTTTTTTTTAAAAATTTGGTATCTCTTCGTACATAGACCAATGCCGGTTGATCAGCAACGTGCACAATTGGCATCTGCGCAAGGAATCCAATTGAACCAAATACAGACCCCAATACAACAGATTGACATCAAAACCGAACATCAAACGCAACAAAAACAGACAATACAAGTGGTGCGACCACAAAATGTGAATCAGCCATTCATTGCTCAAAGTCTTCCTCCCAACAATGTCAATATCAACACAAGCATGAACAATAATACCAATATGAATGCAAATATTGTTAATACAAATATGGACCAAATGACAAGCGGTGCTGTCGGTGTCGATGATGGCCTATCGAATGCAGCACCTGCAACACAATCTACCAGCTATAATCAGAAAACATTCGACCGAATGCGACAAGATGAAGGTTAGCTTTGGACGTTCCGAAACCGAATTGAATCCATTGATGTCAATTTCAATAAATAAATTAATTCAATTTCATTTCAGTACTCGAAGGTTTGGCAACCATATCAGCCGTTTTGTATGCGAATACAAATCATCCTGAACTGAAAGTCGATTATCCTCAATGGAATGACCGTTACAAGCAAATCTTGAAGAAATGGCGTGCACTGTCAACCGAAAGAAAAGCGCCATTCTTGCAAAAAGCACGAGAGAATCGTTCTTGCTTGAAGAAGGCTCAAGCGGTGAGTGCAAACTTTCTGATGTATTTCTGTGTTTTTACCTGAATTTTCATTTCGAATTCATATTGAGTTGAGATTTATGAGAAGCAGTGTCATATGGAACAAACTGGCCAAAAATGTACACAAGTATTAAAAATGATTTCCGAAACACTCTTCGACTCTAAATCTCACCGATCGAAATTTCCGATTAAATCGTTTTTTTTTTTTCAATGAAAATGGCAAAAAATGAGTCTCTTTTTATTTAAATTATATCCGAGAAAACAAAGCATTTGAAGTTTAAAGAAAAAGTTATTCGGTTTCCAACAATGGAAATTGTGTGTTCCTTTCTTCCTTATAATGTGATTAACCGATTACGAAGCTCTTTGAATTCAGTTTCAAAAATTCATCACGCACACACACACAGACACACACTATTTCCAATTAGGTCATGACCAGTGAAAAAAATCTAAAAAAAAAAGAAAACAAACAATATTATGTACACACCCAACAAAAATTATTACCCTATCCACTTTGCCCGCTTGTAAGCTACCCAATGTACCACCATAGCCACAACAACCACTGCCACAAATTTATACTCTCTTTATAAGTGTTTTTTTATGCTGTCACTCCAACTTCAATGATAAATAATAATGATTATAATGTTGTTATTATTGTAACTAACCATGCGCTTTGTGTTACTCATAACATTTACACTCCATTTTCATGAACAAATGCCATTTAAAACCACAACAATAACAACAAGAACATCACAACAGACAGAATTAAAAGAATTGATTCCCTCTTCGGGAATTTGTTTTTGCTTTTTCTTTGAGTGTTTCTGCTTTGATATTTTTGAGCGACACGTAGTTAATGTGCTCATTGTCATACGCACACATATAAACAGAAACGATGTATGCAACGAACGGATTTCGTATGCGCTCATATTTTAATTTCTTTTCTCTTTTTTTGCGTGTACCATTTATTTTTGTGTTGAATGGATATGAATGAAATAGAATTTTTAAAGAAAAAATACAATCAAACAAACATAGAAAAACATTTAGAAAAAAAAAAATTGAGTTCAGCCACTAAACGGATTAAGTGTCTCCTGAAATTTAGGCTCCGCAAACATCACCCAGCAGCAATGATGCTATTAGGCCGCAATCGCAACCACAACCACAACCAATGCAACCATCTGAAATTCCTGTCACTCAAAATAAAATCCTTTCGATAACCACAACTGAAATCCCTGGCAATAAGATAATATCGGTTACAACATCGACAACGCAGCAACTACCAATGCAGCCACACCCAACACAGGTAGCCGTTTACATCCACATTTTCACATTCGAATTTGTTTTGCCAAATGAATGATTATCCAAATAATCAGCCGGTGTATCGTTCTCAGTCGCTTGTTCGTTCGTCCATTTGCTCATATTCGTTCCGGTCGAATTCACAATTCGATCCATACAATTTTCGCGATTTTTTATTGAGCGACGTTCGTCTTGCGAACGAGCCTGCACAAATTATTTTCGATTTGGCGAATCAAGTAACGAAGTGTGTGAAATCAATTTAGCTGGATTAAATGAAAAAAAAAGAAGAAGATAAAAAGAAAACTGGGAATATAAATGCCAGTTAATTACAATGCGGTTATCTTAGTACCAACAATTTGATGCTCGTTTAGAGATTTCGATCTAAAACTCAATTGAAAACGGAAAACACCGAAACACATCCATCGTCTTGATCGGATTTGATTGTGAGTTTGGGCTGCATTTTCTTACTCTAACATTCAACTGTCTTTTTTGAAATGTTAGCCCAATTTCACAGGCCTATACGAGCACACATCGATGTTGTGTGTACACAGAAAAACCAATGTATTGCTTATATTTCTCTCTTGTTGATGTGATGGTGATAGAAAGATGTCGCGTTTTCTCAACGACAGCGATTCAGCGCAATATTCTCTGATTTCTGATTGTTAAATGACGAAATTTGAGAGTGTATTGCCATTAAATCGTTGAAATTCGTTTGAATGAAAAAAACAAAAAAACATCAAATTGATTTTGGTTTTAATTTTTTTTAACACACACATACCCTTTGTTTTCGTTCCAATTAACAGCAACAGCCGCAACGAAATACTAGCATATTGGATGAACTAACTGAATCAAATGTACTTAGTGCATCCAACACAATTCTAAATCCCATTTCCCAAACTGACACAATACACTCACAAAATTCCTCCACTCATTCCAATCACATTGACATTGAACATAACTACAAAGAATCGTACAATCATTTAAACGATTCGAAATCAATTGGCGTTGGTGGTCAAACGGTGTCGTCGTCATCGTCGGCCCCAGCTGGCGTTGGCGCCGTCGTCGCCACCGCTGTCACAACGGCCAAATCCGTTATCACTACTAACAATACTAGCACAATCGTAACGAACACAATGCAATCAAATTCTGTAAATTCTAGTACATTGCCTATTAACTTAAGCGTAGAATTGCGAAAAATTCAACAATCAGCGGGATTAATTACGTCTAGTAGTAATAGTACGTTTATATCGAAGCACATTTATCACTCCACTGATAAAATGCAAATGGGCAGTAGTTTAATGGCTCGTATACCAGCACCGAATGTAACGGTTGTCGATAAAAACGGTGAAAATATTCGTATATTGAAACGTGTACCCGATTCAAATTTTGGTGCACATTCTTTTGATAATTCTGCCATGAAATCGTCCAGTTTGACACAATCATCGGCATCATTGTCGTCTTCATCGTCGTCGTCGTCGTCTACGTCGTTGTCGTCATCGTCATCCATATCATCAGTATCATCCCTATCGTCTTCAACAACGGCGCGATCATCAACTTCGATCAGTTTAATTAGCACAAATGCTGCTGGGGCTGCTGCCGCAGCAGCTTCAACAAATTCTATGTACGATCAACACATTCGTGTATTGACACCAGTTGAGATAATGCGAACACTTCCATCATTACATGATCATGAAATGACAACGTCAAATGAATCAACGGCCACTGGACATTTTTCAACCGCATTATGCAAAAGTAGACGTAATACAATCACTAGTTCACATGAAAATAGCAAGGATACCGTTGATAGCACGGCAATTGAGTCGGTGAGCGGCATCAGCAGTAATAATCAATCGAAGAAAATGCATGATACAAATACCGGTAGCGGTGGCGATGAGGAAATGCCCGAAAAGCAAATTAACAATATAATTATAAATTCGAAAATGGACGAAATCGCATCACCAATTGTCAGTTCAACGCAATTGAAATCAACAATAACAACAACGGTGGACCCAACACAAAATCGCAACACATTCGCTAATTTAACACAATCGTCTAGTCTAACCCATTCGTCCAATTGCTCTTCTCCATCATCCACGTCCAATACCAATGCCGCACTAACAATGGTGAGGGATGACAAACTCATTGAACATAACAAAAAAAAAACAATCAAACAAACAACACTCACAAAATGTTACACAAATTTTTTGCCCCAAACACTCTCTCACACACACAATCAAAATGTTCAGCCGACAATTTGCGTAACATTTTTTTGTCCCTGTTTTTTTACTTTCATTTTTGTTGTACTCAAAGTCAAATTTATGAGAACAAAATCTTTTTGTTATTTCGTTTCTATGAATTTTCGTTTGTTAGCCTCCCTCGTCGGGAAATATATTGTTATAGTTTGATTTATAAATTGTTTTGTTGATGATTTGGTTTTATTTTCGATTTTTCGATCTTGCATTAGAGATAAAAGAAAAAGAATAAGTTTTGTTTCTTATTTGGCTATCAAAGTTTTTTTTGGCAGTTTTATTTTTGTTTTTTGTCTATCAAAGACATTTGTGAGTGCCGTAGAACATGATGATATTTTGTGCTTGACAATATAAATAAGTAATATTTTTTATTCATTTTTTTTTTGATTCGCTATTTATCGAAAAGCATCGCGAGAGTATAGCTTTTTTGCATTTTGGATGGCTGTTGTTGATTCAAGTTGATTTGTATTTAATTTCATTCCGTTCCGTTGTCTAAGATGCCGTTTGCTGAATTTTATGCGTTTTTGTTGTCAACCAATTTTGTTTTTGTTCCGTAAAGCTGTGTGTGTTCGTACCAATTTTGTTTTTCAGTTGCGCCTACCTATATGAAAAAATCGTTAAGATCCGTGTCACTTAACAATTTATGTCAGTGTTTTACTTTAATGTGATTTTTATAAAAAAATACATCTGCAAAATTCTAAATGTGAACGATCAACTTAATTGAGAAAGTAAATCACAATCCGATTGATTCGTCGGTGGCTGGAACTCCAATCATCCAAGAACATAATTCGCAGGATTCGTATTCGTTTTAAGTGCTTTTCAATGCGTGTCCCGAATTGCTTTTGAATTTTTCGCTTGCATGTTAAACCACTAGAATTGATGTGTTTTTTTTTGTTGTTTTAAACCATTCCAGAAAAGAACCATCAAACCACATTCCACTCTCCTTATTCCACCCAAATTCTCCTTTGATCAATTAAACTACGTAATTCAAACTCATTTGTTACTAATGTTTGCATGTTTCTCTTACTAACAACTAGTTTAGCCGATTATTAACATTTTGTTTTTTTTTTCTTCTGGAAAATGGATTAAGTGACTATTTGCCATTTATACTTTTTTTTTTAAATTTAATATGTGTCAATCAACATTTTTCTTTGTATTTTTTCTCGATTATTTACAAGGTGTTTTCTCTCTCTATTCGACTCGATCAAATAGAAAAATGTTAACCCATTGATTTCTATCAAAATAACTAATATTTAAAAAAAATATTTTGAATTTTCCGTTTAGGATCAAGAGAAACATAGTATGGATATTCATCAGAAAAATGTCCGCCAACAAGAAAATGAACGACAATGGAAACAATTGCAAGCAATGCGTGCACGTGAACAACAACTACAACAAATGCAAACGATGCCTGAAAAGATGCATGGTAAAACGAGCTCTACGCGGTCACATTCAACTATTTTTATCGTTTTTAATATTTATTTAAATCTGTATGTGTATTTTCAGTGGATCAAACGCCAAATCAAATGCAAGTCCCTGCTAATCACAATAATACCAACGATGCCAATGGAACTATTGCAAATAGGTAAGAATTATCAATTTCGCATAAAACAATTCGAAAATAACACATTTATTCAATTTGAAGATGCCCACCAAATATGGGCGGTCAATTCCAAGTGGCACACCAAAAAACTCATCGTATGGTGGTTGGAATGCCGCCGGGAGCCAATCAACAGTTTCAATTACCTCAGGTTTGTATCGGTGCTTTATATCGAATAAAATCACTTCAAAACGTATAAATTTTTTTATATTTATTATTTATATAATAAATTGAAAATTCTTTTTAAAATTCGAAAATAGCAACGAACTGTTTCGGTTCAAATACCACGACCAGGACAAATTCAACAACGTATCGTACAAAGTCCGTTCTCTCCACAATCGCAAACACCTCAATCGCCACATAATCAATTCCCTTTGTCACCAGCAACTAGTACGCATGATCAATTTTCACGTCCGTCATCCGAATGCTCACAAGATCCATACTTAAATGTAAGTACAAACTCTTTTTTCATCAAATTATTCTTACTACAAAATGTTTTAACAAAAATGATACACCTGTCTCTATTCCATAAAAAAAAACTTCAATAGTCCCCTCAAACTCCACGTCCATTTGATCACCAAAGTCCAACAGCAAGTGCCGGACAAAGTCCAAGTAGTCATATGCATATGAGAACACCAATGCATAAGCCAAGCGATATTCAAGGTCAAATTCAACCGAGAAACAGCCCATCACCATATTCGTCGCCAGCGCAATCACAAGAGAATAATCGACAATTACGTGATCTTTTACAACAACAACCGCAACAAAATGCAGTCAATACATTCCGACAACCGTTACCACCTGGTATGATAGCGCGTCCAACGCGATTCATGGGTCCACAGCAGCAATCTCAACCGCAACCACCACAGCAGCCACACCAACAACAACATCAAACGGTTAAATCAGTTATTACTGTTCAAAATACGCCAATCGTTAGTTCAGCAGCCGAAAATATTGTAACAAATGTGAATCAACAGGTTGCAACTACTCAACCTAATATGATCAATACAAATGCAAATGAACAACAGCAACAGCAACAATGTGCACCAAATCAAACATCTGCCGAACAACCACAAATGATTGATAACTTTGGTAATCATGCCGAATTGGAGAAACTCGAAGTTGGTGATATTCTTGGTGATTTGGGCGAAGATGATGACGATGAATTATTAAAATCATTCACCGCTGATATGGGTGTCGATTTTAATATTTTGGAATATGCTGATCCCGAATTGGATGCACTCGACGAAGCCGATCAATCCAATTTGCTGGATAGTTTTGATTTCGATGAAACGGAAGAAAAGGAAAAAGCCAAACGTGCCGCATTGGAAAAATTGAATAAAGCCCATGAAAACAAAGTAGCAATGGGCCAATTGAAAACAAATCTCAATCAAAATGCCGAACAACAAACGAATGCAACAAATCCAATCGTTTCAAATGTACCACAAACATCGCTATCAAATCAAATTACACAAGCCAATCGACCACAACAAACACAACAACAAATTATGATGCAACAAAGGTAAATACGCTTTCACCAACACAATTTTCCTACTCAATATGTCAGTTGACATCGAATTTGATCACATAAATTAATCATATTTACTTTATTTTTTTGGCACTTAATCAGGCAAATGCAAGCCAATATGGGTGGCCAACAACGAGTGCAACTTCGTTCAAATCCACCGCCATATCCAGTTCCGCCACCACCATATCCAGGTGCCATTAACAATGTATCGGTGAGTTTGGTTTTCATCATTATTATTCTTCTTCTTTGGTTCTTAGGTGTATTCAGATTTTCTTTTTGCAAAAAAAAAAACCAATATTTATTTATTTTCAATTCAAAATTTAATGCTCGGCGAAAGAAGCAAAATCGTTTGATGAAAAAATCGTAAAGTGTTTGCATTTTATCTTCACACCATTGAGTTATGAAATATTTTTGTGTGGCCATTCAAATTTTTAATTGTACAATTGCACCAAGAATTATTAATTCCTATTATTTATATTATTATTTTTTTCTCTTTCTCTCTCTCTCTATCTCATTAAGAAGTAAAAGATTTCTTTATTTTTATCCTTTTTTGTTCGAAATTTCTCTTTGTTACCAAGTAATAATCAACTGGGTGAATGTCTTTGTAGGAGCAAAATAATAATAATTTAATAACGATGATATCAGGGAATTCAGAGAGACAATATTTTTTTTTCTCGTTGGTTTTAAAGAACTATTTTTAGTTGTATATTGTTTTCGTAAAATCTATCAAATTTAATATCAATATGAATGTGTATACATGTGTACAGTATAATACGTATCAAACATGCGCGTCCGGAATAACATCTGATTATCCACCAGCAATGACACAGCGTCGTCCGCTGTTGCTGCAGGTGAGAGTGTAATAAATGTGATTTAGCAACATTTCAACAAAAATCAAAATTTACAAGAAAAAAAAAGCATAAATTCAAATTATTACATTCGCAATCTTTTTTTGTTAAATATAATTTCTTAAGACAAACAAAAAATAAGCTCAAACAAAACAAAATTTCATTCCTGTTTCTCTCTATTTGTGTATATTTGTCTAATATATATATAGTTTTCTCGCTGTTGCTCTCTTTCTCTCGCTCGCTCGCTCATATCAACACTCTAGTTTGTGTCTTTTTTATGGCTTTCATACTTTATTTTTATTTTCTTCAGTTGCAATAGAATCAAAATTTGTTAGAGCCGTTACATATAGTTGCTGTTGCTGTGTATTATATCGTCTAAAGTATCATACAGGAAATATTAGAACGAAAACAAAAAATAATAATAAAACCTATCGAAACAGATCAGATGTCAAAATCTTATGTGAAATTTGTGTCTCGTTTTTCCGGATTTCGCTTACAGTTTTTATGCAGCAAGTCACCATTTAGTTGTATTACTCTAAACCCAATTGATTTTTGATCCGCTTTTCTTCCAAAAAAATATTATTACACGATACCATACATGCAGTTATTTCACTGTAATTTTTATGTGTGTGTGATTTTTTGTTAAAGCAACATTTAGATGCAAGCATTCATAAATATATACAAATATATGCGGTGAAGTAGTATGTTGACATAAAATATGTTGTATAAATGGAAGGATCACCGCAATTGTATCCATTTGTAAATGCTTTTGCTATATATTATTTGAAATTACAAGAAAATTTTGAGATCATCACATTTCTTTTGTTGTTAATTAATAAAATGACATCGTTTATGTTTACTTTTTTATTCAAAATAGGAACAGCCGCTGTTGCTGGAAGAATTATTGGAACAAGAGAAACGTGAAAAGCAAGAGCGTGAACGTCAAGCATCGATGAACAATGATATGACAAATTCGAATAGTTCGAGCTTGTTGAGCGATCATGATTTTGAGCGGTTACGTGCTGATGTGCTTGGCACGCAGGGTATACAAACACAAGGAATGCCAACCCAAGGTATTCCGGCCCAAGGTCTTTTGCCAATCCAACAACAACAACCAATTATGCAAAATCAACCACAACGACAAGCATTTATTGCACAAAACCAACAACCACGACCGCAATTCATTCAACGTGCGGTTACACAACAACAGCAACAGCAACAGCAACAGCAACAGCAACAACAGCCACAACAACATCAACCACCACCGCCTCAACAGCATATGCAAAATCAAGTGCAAAATATGAACACTGGCATGGAACCAACGGTTATTAAAACTGAAGGATGTAGCATACCAATGTTTGTGGCCAATTTACAAAAGGCACCATCCATTCCACCGGACACAATTGTTACCGAACAAGATCGTCAAATTCAAATCAACTACGAACAATGGCTTGCCACGCAAGAAAATAAATTGGACCATCAACGAAAATACTATGAATCCGAAGTGCAAAAACTTCGAAAATCACGTAAAGCATTGAATAGCAAACAACGTATGCTGAAAAAAGGTGGAAATGATCTGTGCGAAACTGATACAATTGAATTGAATAAAATCACCGCTGATCAGACGTTCGTTCAAAAGCAATTGGAAAATGCACGTAAACAAGCACGACAGCACTCGATTGTTGTTAATGATTACAAAAACAAACAACAAACGGCCAATATGAAAAACAATCTGGCAAGACAACAAATGAACGTAAGTTTTCGATTCAACAATTTGAAGAATTGAAAAAAATGTTGAAAGAAGAAATGATTTATTTGAATTTTCTTTTTGTTCGTTCTTAGGTTCAACAGCAACCGCAACAAATAATGTCGCCAATCAATCAACCGGGTGTTATGTCGGCACAATCGCCATTGGGAAATACGACACCACAGTCAAATATGATGCAAATGTCAGCTCAATCACCGCTCGGCAATCCCGGTCAACAAACGAACATGATGCAAATGTCGGTACAATCACCAATGCAGGCACCAAGCCCATTGATGGCACAGAGTCCCATTCCAAGTAATGCAATCATGCAAAGTCCGGGCAATCCAAATATGTCACCGTACAATAGTCAACCGTCACCACTTCCTGGTACACCACGTATTGGTACACCGCATTCACAGCCGGATGATGTAAGAATATATACACTGTGTTTAATTTAATTTCATTTTATGCAAATAAATTTTAAAAAAATGTCTTTTACAGCAGCCACAATCGAATGCACCTCAAATGAGCCCATTTAGTCCAGGTGCTACAATGAGGTAAGAATTTCGCTTCTGTTTTCTTAATTCGTTATCGTCTCACGATCGAAACTAATCTGAAAAAAAAAATGTTTATGTACATTTTTAGTGCTTCACCATCCCCATCGTTACCGGGCCGATTAACATCGCCGGCGCCCAGAATGACCTCACCTCAACATCATCGAATCGGTGGACCACCAATGCAAGGTCGAATTTTGACAAGTCCAAGTCATACATATGCACAACAAAATATTGTGCAAACACAAATGATTGTGAATCAACATCGTTTCGTTCGACCTCAACAACAACAGGTAACACCTTATTTGTCCAATTTTCATATTTGATTTTATCAACAACAACAAAAATTAAATTCAATTTATCAACCGAACTTTGTTTCACTTTATCGAAGCAGCAAGTGCAACAACAACAAATTGTGGTCAATCGACAGGCAATGTCGGGATATATTTCACCATTGGGTAGCCCACAACCGATAATGTCACCGAATCCAACACCCATGCAACAAATGCAACCACAGCAACAACAACAGCAACAGTTGCAGCGGAGACAACAGAGTGTAATGCAGGTAAGAGTCAAACGTTCATTTTTCACATTTATTGTTCTGCAGAACGCAAATCATGATCAAGAGAAATAAAGCAAAAAAAACCAAAATTTTGAATATAAATGGTGAATTTTGAAAATCCTATTTTATAGATGCAGAGACAACAACAAATGATGCAAATGCAACAGAATCAATTACAACAGAATCAAATGCAACAGAACCAGATGCAACAAAATCAAATGCAACAAAATCAAATGCAAATGCAACAGGTTCAGTCGCAACAACAACAACATTACATTCAACAACAAGTATGTATCCCTCCATATTTCTAGTGTCGAGTTCATCTCACTATTCCATACTAAAACTTATTTATTTCCAAATATTCATAATGCAACAGGTTGTTAGTCCAATGATGATAAGTTCACCGCATATGCAACGTCCGCCAAGTGGTGGACCAATGAATTCGCCACAAGTTCAGCAACAGCAACAACAGCCACAACAGCAGCCACCACCAGGCTATGTGTATCAAAAGCCTGGTTTGCGTGGTGGTGCCCCCATTCATGGATTCAGTCGCGGTGCTAAGCGATTGCCAACAGCAAGTACATCAAGTGCCGGTCAATCACAAACACCGCAAACAAGCAATCCTGTTGTAATTGTGAACAATGTAACGATTCTAAAGAAAAGGGGTGGCGGAACGATGAAAGCGACCGGAACATTGAAAGCGGCAACTGGTACACGAATTATACATAGAGGCAAAGTGGCCAATATAATGCAAGCCCAAGATGATTACGATGAAACGTCAAATGCATCGACAATGTCAACGCCAACCACATTCACCATTCAGCCGCATACGATCAATCGAAATTTAAAACGAACCGCATCGGATAGTTGTTATACAACCACTAAAACCTTACGATCACCGCTAACCGGTTCAACATTGACAATGGAAGATGTGGTGGTGATTGACAGTAGCCCAGATGAAAAACAACGAATCATGGACTATGACGATGATAATGATAAATCGGTGATTGGACCCGAGATATCACTTAGCTCTGTTGCACAGAATGCAATCGATGGTGATGAAGTTTCCGTTATTTACGATACATCGGCCGGTAATGATTTTAACATTGCTTCAAGCCCGCTCGAACCAGAAGAAATAAGCGAAGAATATCCGCTATTTCCATGCGTGGCCGATTATGTTGATGATGGTGAACGGCACACGATCGAAAGTCCAAACGAAGACGATTCGAAATCATTAACGGTCGAAGATATGAGCGACGAAGAGGGAAAACATGGTCATTCCGAATCGCCCGTTTATTTAGATGAAATTGTCAATTTGGACACAAATTCCGAAGAACATTTTGCAACGACCGAAGAAGAGATCATGTCAATGAATTCGGAAATTATCATAATGGATTCAAGCATTAAAACACCGGAAGATCGAATGCATGGATCGGCTGACGATTATGAAGCTATGATCGATTCGGGTAAGAGTGATTCATCGATTGAACTAATGGAAGTCGAATCCGAACAAGAACTGCCATTGATAAAAACCACAACAAAACCAACAGCCACAATTGCAAAAGAATCACACACTTTAAATAAAGGTCGTGTATTCACTGTTGTTATGCCACAGTCATCATCGTCATCGGCAAAACCTCAAATTGTATCGTATGGACGCAAAGCGATTACAGCCACTGCAATTACAACAAATAAAAATGCCGTCTATTCAAATGTATCGACATCGGCATCCACTCATAATTTAATGAAAGATGCAACACAAGCCAAATATTTGTTGGGCGATCAAACGATTTCGGTGCCAATATTAAAAAATGCCATTCCATTGGCACGTGTTACGAGCGCCAAAGGCGGCGGTGAAACAACAAATAAAAAAATCATTGGACAATCGGCCATTATCATTGGTAACGATAATATTATTGGTACATCATTGTCAAATATGACGTTGAAGAAAATCAACACATCAAATTATGTCACAATATCACCGTTAAACATACAGCACTCGGGCGGTAGAATTTTGTCGGCACAACTTGTGCGAGCACAACCATCACAGCAAACCGTCACGACAAATCAAGCGAGAAAAATTACCTCGATTGCTGGTACACAGATAACAAAAAGTGTTACGCCAACATTAACCTATTCGAAAATTGGTCCGACACTCGCATCGTTAAAAGTATCACAGGATATTTCGTTGCCTACAAAATTATTCGAAGACGAATCCATTTCGCCCGACAGTTCGATCGAACAAGATGAAAGCGATTTAATGTTGACCGAAGAAACAATTTACACAACCGAAGACTCAAATCCGAATAATCGTGATGCAAATGACATTGGCGTAAGTTCCATTATCAATTTATATAGTTTTTTTTATTGTTGTTGCTTAATAATCGTTAAAGAAACGTAGGGGATAGAAAATTCATAACGAAATGTTTGTTTGGCTTTATTTTCAGGAGAATTCGCAGAAATCACTATCGTCACCGATGTCCATATCAAATCAAGACCGTATTATCGAAGTTGATGAAATGCTAAACGATGATTGGAAACGTAAATCAACATCGTCATCACCGGTTATCAAGACGGACAGTCAATCGAATGCATCGCTTAGTGGCAGCGGTATTGTTTCAAATGCTGAAAATAAATCACAACAATCCGATCAAATTGAAAAACAACAAACGCTGACCCAACAAAAGCAAACCGCTCAAATTCCAGTACATGTTATCATTAAATCTGAATCGCCAACCGCAAGTCTTCAGCCAGCTACTGCCGCACGTTTGACATCAAATTTGCCACAATTATCACCGCTATCGCAACCAAACGAGATAAATTCCAATGTGGCAAATGCATCGCAACAATTGCGTTCAATTATGTCATCAATTAATCAGCAAACAACAACAAATAGCACAACTGGCGTTACATCGAATCAAATAAAACCGGTCACAACGACCGTTGAAATTAAATCAATCGAAGCACAAGTATCAGTTGCAAATACAATGTTGGTAGCAGCTGCAGCTGCATCGAATACATCAACAACCACCAAAATGGAAACAAATATCGTAAAAACGGTGGTGCCCACAAGTTTCGAAAATGTTTTGGCCGTCAATCGACAAAACAATGAATTGAATGCCAAAACCGAAACGCCCGGTCCAAAGATTATTGTCACCGACACAATTCCGACAACAATAACAACAACCGGCAAAATTTTAACATCTCAAGCATTCAATCAAAATAACATTGGATCGATAACAACAACATCGGCGGGTAGTATACTATTTGTGAAACAATTTCGAAATGTGTCGCCAATGGCAAGCCGAAGTCGATCACCAGTTACGGTCAATTCATCGGGCGCAAAAACGCAAACATTTTCGCTGGTCAAATCAACCATGGGCGGTACACCGATCATTATTTCTGGTCAAGCATCTCAGCAAGGTAATTCGGTTATTCTGAATAAAATACCAACGATACTCACCAAAGTCTCCACCACCAATGCTATTGTAACGGCCGGCAATACAATTGCCGTTTCTTCAACGTCATCAAATCAAATAACAACCGTCACCGGTACAAAGAATGCAACACAAACAATGAGCATATTGGGCAGTACATTATCACAACCACAACAATCTCGCATTGTTCCATATGCCGAAGGTCAACACATTACCATTTCAAAGAAACCAATTAAATTGCCGATTTTGACGGAAATCAAAGGTGCAACGGTTGTTTCAAATGCATCAGTCACCGGCCAATCATCGGCCAGTTCAACGGCAGCTATTCAAAATATTTTACAATCAAGTTTGTACAGTCATCCAACGAGCGGTAGTATTTTAAGTGCAACACTCAGTCAACCAGCCCAGAAACCAAATACAAAATTATTACAATCACAATTGACGAATAATCCATTCCGTCGATCGAAATCGACCGATGAAGTGCCCGGTTTTCTTAAAGAAACACCAGCGCAAATTATTGGTAAACGACATAGCAGCATGGAAGCATCAAACACAATTAAAGATGAAAGAGATGAAGCGATTACACCAACTACAGCTTCAGTTGCTCAAACCAAAACCACCGAAAGTTTAACGGAAAACTGTAAATTTACCACCGTCACCATGGTTCATAAATCGGACGAATCACAAAATGTATTGCTGAAACAATTATTGCAACAAGCAAGCAATACCACGCCGACACCGTCATCATTGCCAACCATTGTATCGCGATCGGGGACAACATTAAGAGCACCAAGTTTGGGTGTTGTTAGCTCACTTGAAGCACAGCTGGCACGACCAGTTATTCTACCCGTTCCAGCCACACCAAATGCAATCCAATCAAAACCGAATACACTAGCTACATGTGAGTTATTTTTCATTTTTTTCATTATTATTCTGTGATTCTGAGAGCGAGACCTATTCCATAACCTTAAGTGGATTCATACCTTAATTTGAAAAATTACAACACTCTGTTATCAAATATTGAATGTTTTGCTTAAAAATTTATACGTTTGTTTGTACTTATTTATAGCCACAACAACCACATCGCAAGCATTCAGTTCGCAAATGAATAGTACGAATAAATCGTCTAGTGGAACGGTTGCTGTTAGCACCACTTTAGTTGATTCGTCCAAAAATTCAGTACGAACGCATCAAATTCTATCGCGAGAAACTTCTTTCATATCGAAGCCAGTTACTACTGAAGATAAGGATGAACCGGTCATTCCTTCGCCGATTGTGTCAGCAAGCCAAGCTACGCCGGCACCACAAATCACAGTTCCAATAATTACAACAACGGGCACACCTCCGTCTACCGTTACAATTACAAGTAGGTTGCATTTGAAATATTAATTTGAAGAAAAAAAATCAACATTCCTTTACCATTCCCTTTAAAATAACGTAAAAGTTCGCCATTAAAAATCTTTGGACAAAAAAAAAAGAAAAAATGCTAACAACCTTGAAAATTAACTTTTTAGCAAAAACAACAAGTCAATTGGAGTCGGTACCAGCACCAACGACAATGCCAGAGGTGGTGTCGACAGTGGCTGAAGTAACAACTACCACCGTTACCACAACAAATTCACAGCCGCCGAATACAGGTAACTACGAATTATTCAAGACTTTCAAATGTCCTTTGATCATTTTTTGTTCGATAAAACAGTATTTTGTACATTTGGGCTTACCCCATTTCTGGAACATATTCAAACCAGATTATTTAAAAATTCAAATCAATTTAATACGGTGTCATTTCTTTTCCAAATTAATAATAAAAAGCAATCATAGCGCAAAAGAATTGTGTTGCATTGCAACAGCAGACATCGGTTGAAAATTCAGCAGAACCACTTCCAGTAGTAACAATACCACCGACTGATGTGATCAAAACAGAGCCAATGGCTCAAAAAGATCCACCACAAAATGCAGCTCAATTTATGCGAACGACTGTTGAGCTTACAAATGCTACAGCGATTGTAATAAAACGTGAAGATTCCATTCCGTCCCAACCGAGTCCCACGCCAACATCACGACCGCCGTCAATCCTATCAAATTCGGATGTAAAACGTGAATTGCTCGATGACAATTCACAAATGAGTGCTGCTTCAGATCATAGCAGCATAAAACAAGATTCAATCAAAGAGGAGACAACGGACACGATTACCGATCCCGAAATGGCAGCAAGAATCGCTCAAGAAACTGCACTTGAAATAAAACGTAGAAAACGTCGGGAATACCAAAAGAATCGTCGTGAATATCAGAAGAACCAGAGCAAAGAGAATGTCAACAATGCGACCAGTAGTGGTCCGGTGAAGAAGAAACCTCGCAAAATGAGTTCAACCACTAAAATCGATGAAGATTACGATACGTTCATTGATAATTTGATGGTTCAATTGAAATGTATGCAACCGATGCAAATACTCGAACCAACATTAAATCGTGACTATTCAATTAGTGCGGCATTTGGTGCGGGTGATTTGAATAAATTCGGTTCGGATCGTGAATACAATGTCATTTCCGGTGATTTGATCAATAAATACGGTGTCGCTGAATTGGAGAATATCGCTGATCATTACAATACAAAACCATTCGGTTGTAAATCACCGATGTCCGAACACCATAATCCATCCACACATTATGGTTTTTATGATCAAGAATTTTCACCAATTAAATTCTCAAGCGATGACGAAAATCGTAGTAAATACGATTTCCTAAAGGAACGTGACATTGAAACACCCGACACGATTATTAGTTCATCAAGTCCAGAGTGCGTGATTCAAGATTCACCATCACATTTTCCTGGTTTGCGTTTGATTCAAGAAGACGATGAAGACGCTGCGATCGAATCTCAAATCAATAAACGTATGTCACCACAAATTCCAATCATAACACCGATACCGATTCGTTTGAAGAAAGGAATGTCATTGTCACCCGACAAAAATAGCAATACGCTAATTGATAAGAACAGTGTTAAAGATATATTTGGAAATAAATCGAAATTTGGACCACCGATACCGGCACTGAAAGATAAAAATAACGTAACAATCACGTTAACACTAACATCATCGGCGGCCGATGACATTTTAACGGTGCTACAAGATTTGGCAAATATCCTGCACATTCATCCACCGACTTCATATGAAATTGTTGAACGAACAACAACGCCGCCAAGCCAAAAACTTGGTTTGTATCGAACACGCGGCAAAGATGGCAAAGAAGGTGCACCAATTGATATTCAAACGATTTTAAATGGAAATGCCAAGTTTTGTCGTCACTGTGATGTGGTCATTTTGAATACGGTTATCCGAGCCAAAGCCTATGAATTTCCATTGCTTGCACAAAATAAAAATGAATTTATGAACGAAAGTGACGATTTATACTTTTGCAGTAAATCATGCTATCGACAATTCAAATGTGTACCCACCAATATTTTGGATGATAAATTACCAGAACCATCGAACGCTGAACAAAGTACATACGATGATACGGTCAAATACAGTAAATGTCCCAACATTTTGCTGACTTCATCGATCACCGAACAGAATGATGTGAATGCCGATGATGAAAATAGCAAAGATACTTCGAGCATCAGTGCGATTGACACCAAAGATGATAATACAAAGGATAGCATTAGTTCTGCCACCGATTCAGATGTGAAAAATGATTTGAAATTGGATATAGTGAAAGCGAATGCACGAAAATTAACGCCCGACGACGAAGAAAAAGGACCGTCCGCTAAGAAACAAAAAGGAATGCAATACTTGAAATATTCACCGGGATGCTTTAAACCAAACACCAAATACAAGAAAATGACGGAAAAAGAAACCACCGAAATGCTATTCCGAATGAATATTACGGTAACACCATCGTCCGATAAATTGCCCGAAGATACGCGCAAATGTATATTTTGCCATCAAATTGGTGACGGTGTGGCCGATGGTCCATCACGTCTATTGAACTTTGACGTTGACAAATGGGTGCATTTAAATTGTGCTCTATGGTCGGACGGTGTTTATGAAACGGTCAACGGTGCATTAATGAATTTAGAAAATGCATTGCAACAGAGTTTTACACAATTGTGTGCACTCTGTAATCAATATGGGGCAACAATAAAATGCTTCAAAAATCGCTGTACAAATATCTATCATTTGAGTTGTGCAATTAAAGACAAATGTGTATTCTATAAAAGTAAAACAACGCACTGTGTTAGCCACGCACCGAAAACGGAGAAAGACAATGAGTTGACGACATTGAGTGTGCAGCGTCGTGTTTATGTGGAACGTGATGAACCACGGCAGGTGGCTTCAGTGATGCATCACTCGGAATTGAGTAATTTATTGCGTGTTGGTAGTTTGATATTCTTGAATGTTGGCCAATTATTGCCGCATCAATTGATCAATTTCCATACGCCAAATTTTATTTATCCAATTGGTTATAAAATTCTACGATTCTATTGGTCATTCCGACGACCAAACAAACGATGCCGTTACATTTGTTCGATTGCCGATGTTTCGGGTCGTCCCGAATTTCGTGTACTTATCCAAGAACCAAACGAAGAAGATGTTGAGTATCGTGATTCAACACCAAAAGCCATTTGGCAACGTATTCTTGAGCAATTGGCAAAACTACGAAAAGAACATAATTTAGTGGAAATCTTTCCCAAATACATCATCGGTGAAGATTTATTCGGTTTAACTGAACCGGCCGTTGTTCGCATTTTGGAAAGTTTACCAGGAATTGAAACGCTCACCGATTATCGATTCAAATACGGACGAAATCCATTGCTTGAATTACCATTGGCCATCAATCCATCGGGAGCCGCACGTACTGAACCGAAACCACAACAAAATCTCAGTTGGAAAAAACCACACACACAACGATCGGGCAGCGCAAGCCAACGGCCAACATTTGTTGCATCAACATCGGTTGTTGGTGAGGTGGCATGCCCATACAGCAAACAATTCGTTCATTCGAAGAGCTCACAATACAAAAAAATGAAACAAGAATGGCGAAATAATGTATTCTTGGCTCGGTACGTTCAGCACCATTTTCTTTACAATCGTTCAAAGCTAAAAAAAACGGTCAAACATTTTAATAATCAATTTCATTTCATTTAATAGATCGAAAATTCAAGGACTTGGTTTGTATGCAGCTCGTGACTTGGAAAAACACACGATGGTCATTGAATATATTGGTGAAGTGATTCGATCAGAACTATCCGAATTACGTGAGAAACAGTACGAGGCAAAGGTATGTCATAGCAAATCATTATGTTTTTCTTATATAAAATCACAAATAAAATAATTTTATTTCGTTTGCCATTAGAATCGTGGAATTTACATGTTCCGTTTGGATGAAGATCGTGTCGTTGATGCAACGTTATCAGGTGGTTTGGCGCGTTACATTAATCACTCGTGTAATCCGAATTGTGTCACAGAAATTGTTGAAGTCGATAGAGAATTCCGCATCATCATATTTGCAAAGCGTCGCATCAATCGTGGCGAAGAGGTAAGAATTCGAATTCACATACAAATTTGAAAATTTAATTATATATAAATAATTTTACCAAAAATTCCATCACCAATTTCAGTTATCGTATGATTATAAATTTGACATCGAAGATGATTCACACAAGATTTCTTGTATGTGCGGTGCACCAAATTGCCGTAAATGGATGAACTAAAAAAACCGATAACGATAACCAATTGTGGCATGCATAATAAAAAATGGTTTGAATAATCGATGTAGACAACAATTGATGGAACCCATTTCAACATTTTGTGATAATAAATTAAAATTATAAATTTAAACGAATGAATCGGGGTCTGTATGCATATATACATATATAGTTCAGACGAAGCGTTAAGCGAAACTACGGAGACAGACATAGAGAGAAAGCATGCACATCATCCACATGCATATGACACCATACCGTAATCGCATTGAATTGATTTCTCTCATCTCAGCAAGTAAACCTGTTGAACAACCAGCAATAATTCTACAGTCATTCAACAACATTTATAGATTTTTATCTTCATTATCTTATTTAAACTCACACCAACTTCTCACGTATAATAAATATATATATTTTCCGTGCATCCATTTAACACACACATATATACATATTAAAAATTTCAAATCGTTTTAATTTCGTATACTACCGATATGGATAAAATGTGTGTTGAGATTTGAAAAAGACGAAGTTGATTAAAAACCAAAATCCAAATTCTCTAAATATAAATGCTATATATTTTTCTTTCTCGTACACCGAAGAAAAAAAAAGTTAAAAAACAAAAACAAAAATATTAACAACAAAAGATATAAAGAACGCTTTGATCCATTGTTAAATTTACGATTTACACAAAACCCAACAAATGAACATACAAACAAACAAATTAAAAAGAAATATATTATATGGTTTTTCTAATGAGTACCAACATAAAAAAACACTAGATTGTAGACATGTAAATATGTTATTTACTTTAATTCAATTTGATATTGACAAAGAGAATGAGAGCAAGAATGAATAAACAAAACGAAACAAAAACTTACAGAAAATTACGAGAAAGAATGAGAACATTAAAATGCAATTCTATATTTTTGATAAAAAAAAACATCAAACGCATCGCAAAGCGAACAAAGGGAGACAGACATACACAAACAAATGAGAGAAAAATTTATGTTAGCGCTATTGCACTTGAGAATCGATTACACGCTTGATTTGAAGGCACGAGTGAATATTGAGAAAAAAATCACAAAATTGCGTTAAATTTTCCCATGCTTCTTCACCAATCACAGTTTAAGTATTTAAAATAAACACATTTTCAAAACATCCTCCTCTCCTCCCTTGAATCGAAAAAAAAAAACAAAACCAATCAAAAATGAGAAAAACATGTTGCGTGAATATTTTTATTATAATTTTTTTTTTTGACTATTAATGATTTCTGAGATCTCTTGACGATGATACACAGAACAAACTATATCGGCCATTTCACTTTATTTTCATATTTTTTTTCGCATTGCATGACCCATTTATTTCATGCAGATACACAAATACTCTCTTTCCGTCGACAAAAATGCACACACACATTAGCATGAAAGAGAGAACAAACAAATTCATTCTTTTATTTGAACGAATTTGTAATTTTTTGTGAATCGTTTAAAAAACGTATACGTCAATTTTGATTTGAAGCAGTGTGATTCTCATAGGAAAAAAAATGGAAACGCATGAATTATAAAATTATTTAAAGACAAAACCTAAATGCAAAATCCAAACGTTAAAAATTAAGACAAAATAGACGAAGAAAAATGATACACGGAAATCAATCTCAAAGAGTAGACATTTTTTTTTATTTTAAAATCACATATATTTAACAAATTGTATAAATTTAAGTTAATTTCTCCGCTTTTTTTCTCTTTTGTAATTAATTAAATGAAAAAATCATACTTCATTTTGTTTTTCGTTTTTTTTTAGTTCGGTTTCGAATGTTCATTAATTGTCATATATATGCGTGGAAAAATGGGCGAAAACAAAATCATTTTTTTTTATTCATAGAATTTAAACACAAAAGGATTTATTATAATTTGTTTCCCCTACAAATTCCTTACGAATGTTTTAGACTCGATGCATAAAGTGTGTTGCACATTTAAACATTAGTTTGGTTCTCTCCATACACATATTTTTGTTTGTGCACTTGGCAGCAATTTTATTGCTTTAATTAGACAAAATGAATTAACTTCATGAAACGATACATAATGACGAGAAGAAAAAATGACGATAATTTCAACAAAACCAAGAAAAAAGGAGAACGGATCGCTTAGATAGTGATTCAATTGCTTATTAGATTCAAATATATATCATTTAGTTTGTTTGACTTATAGACACACACACACATACACATATACAAAAAGAGACACATTTAAAAATGAAAATTAAACGAGGAACACTCACATGCGTATTATATTGTAATGATTAAGTTAATTTTAGTTGTCAGTAAAACAAAACAGAATTTGGTACACAAAATAAATGATGATACATAGTTAATTCATTTCTTTTAGATTTTAATTTTATTATCAATATCAGTTTTTTTTTCGAAGCGAAGAAAAAATATATACAAAATTACGTTAATTTCACAATTGATAAATCGTATGTGAATAATTGAATGAGACAAATCTATATAAACACGAGAATAAATATATTACAGCCGAAAACAAATGAAATCATTTAATTAAATATTCGATATGAGTTGCGCATCTGAAACATGAAAATAATAAAAAGAATGTTTGATTATAAATTTATGATTACTATTTAGTTAGCTTAGTTTTTAGAATTTTACACAAAAAAAAAAAAAAACAAACAAACAAATACGATGAAAAAAAAAACAAACATAATGTAAATAAAGAGAAAATTCTAATATAAAAAATGAAATTTGATGAGTTTTTATTTATTCTTTCACACCACATCTTATTTGAAATCAATTCACACATTTTTTCCAATGAAAAGAAGAAAAATATGAGGCGAACAGAAAAATAGTGGCAAAAATAGAGTATGGACGTTTCTTCGCTTTCTGAAATATATGTACAAATTTAACACTTCACTATTTCGACTTTGAGCTTGATGCTGGAGAAAAGTCAGACATTTTCATCGATCAATATTTTCTTGACCCGATCAACGTTTCAATTACTGTCCGGGTATGGAAAAATTGCAATTTCTTCTCTTACAGCTGTCACATTTATATCAAATACAGGTGGACGTAGTCAAAATTGTAAAAGTTATCGAAAATTCTGAAAAATCGCAATAACGGACATCCATTGATGGCGTTTTTTTTTTAAATTGCATTCAAAACATTCAAAAATAAAAATGTATATTTTTGTTACGAACATATTTTTTCGGTGAGATTTATTCAATTATTTTTTACAATAAAGATTTTCAAAGCGATTCCACATTGAATTGAAAAAATATTTATTTTACACGAGAAGAACATTCCTGAGATTATTATTTGTTTACATTTAAATGAAAATTCTTACGAACAACAACATTATTTGCTTTCAAATTCTATTGAATCCGATCTGCGAGACCCAACTGCAGCATGAGTTATCATAGTCCAGCGATGGATTTCTGTGAAAATGAATAATCAATTCGCCGTCCATTTCAACAATTGGTTTCAATATAGAAGAACTGAAGCTAAAATAGCACGATAGCTCCAATTGAATCTCATATAAAATTTGTGGTTTGATTAAAATCGGTTCTGGTAATGTAAAATTCATTTGGTTGTTGATCCAACTTTTTGCGATGCCTTCGTACAGAATTTTTTTCGGTGAGTTTGAATGAAATGTGTGACTTTCAAGTTCGGTGATAGTAATTTTCACCGAATTACTATGCATATCATAATTATAAGAACCTACTAATGAAAATGTGTTAATTTCCCCAAGCAACAGCGGATTATTTGATGTGAATGAAACTCTTTCTGGCATATGAAGTGCTTTTTGTTGTATTCCAGATGTGCATTTTCGTTTGCAGTATAAAATTCGATCACGATTCCATGTGTATCGTCTTGGATTTCGTATGAAAATTTTCGGTTTGTATTCCTTCACTGTTAAAGAAAGCATAATATCTTCGAATTCGTCTGCTGTAAATAGTGCCTTATAACTTACATAAAGCATTGTAAATTCATCGATTTTCATTTCATCAAATCGAATCGATTTGAGACAATCGCCCAGTTGAACCTTGAAATTCTCCAGATTATTTTCATCCAAACCATTTTGATTGCACGCGTGCTTAGCCCAGATTAAACATGCATTGAAAATATCCAATTCGCTACAGGTAAGATTCAATTCCAAGATATGTTCAAGTGTTTGTTTGTCACAACGTAAAAATGCGTCCGATACAAAAACAGTTTTTGGCGATTCGCCGATTTTTTTCTCACAAAATTCAATTAATGCGTCATTTTTTAGGAATACCGCCAATTGATAGCCCCAGATCATATTATCCATTGTCAATTGACCTTCGAGAAATGTAGCACACGCGTTGACACAATCAATAATATCGTATTTATCGGCTAGACGTGCAACAGCTTCAATGTTTTCCATCGTTAATTTCACTTCAGTCAAGTAAAAAAATTGTAAAAACTCTTTGAATGCGTTTACATCAGCATCAACAATTTTAACGTCGCCTTTTTCTTTCATCGACCCATAGAACATCGTATTGAACACTGGACTTAGCACAGCCAAAATTGCTTTATTTGCTGGTAGCTTTGTAGCGTCAATGAAGTCATCATCTTTTTTGAATAGAAAATTTATGTCGGCGAATTCGGCGTTGAGATACAATTTTTTTGTCGTCTCACTCGCAGCACTATTGTATAAAGCACTTGTCATCGTTGAGAATTTTGTTTTAATGACAAAATATTTACTTTTTGGGATGGAAATACGTAAAATTTCGCGTTTATTTGCAGAATTTGACAGCAAAAACGTCGTTTCTTCTAAACGTCATTCGATCCAAACAAACAACATTCGAAGGAAAACAGACACAAGCAGAGGATATACGATAGAAACAACGGACACATACGCGTGAGTAGTGAACGTTTCATGGGTATTAGTAGATGACGATATTTATTTGATACATACATATATTATTCAGAAATTTGGCGCGAATATGTATGAGCAATTTGATGGTTCTTTATGTATTGCTGTCTAATTGCCATTCGCAAAAATTCTTACTTTCTCAAAATATTTATATGAAATGAATAAAAAGCAGCACTATTTTGATGACATTTTATTTTTATTATACATTATTATAATTAAGTTATTTTATTATTTATTAATTGATTTTTAATTCAAAGAGTGTATTTTTCTATGTTAGTTTTTAATAGTGTTCCCGAGTGGAAAAAAGTGACTAAGTTACTACTGACTGTAAGTGACTATAGTTAGCTAAATTCATGAATTCCAAAATTTTGTATGGAAAACAATTGACTATAGTTACTCAGTCAGTCAGGCGATTATTTTGGGACGTTTTGACTGCTAATTGATTGAAGTTAACAAACGGTTAACTAAATTTAGCTAAGGTTGCTTGTTTTTGCAGTCAATAATCAGTCAGTTTGTCCCAAAATGGTCAGTCACTTTTTTTGTACACGGGTTTTTAATTTAAATTTATTTGAAAATCATATATCGATCGGTTGATATGTGTCAGATGGTAATTGAAGTTTTTGTGCAAAAAAATTACTGTTTGCGCTTTTTTTTCATGTATGTTTATATTAAATACAAAAATAGTCTTGAATCTAATTTCAAACAAAATATGGAATGAAACAAAATCGTAAATGTCCTTCTACTACTCAATAATTTATGCAATAATCTTAACTAAACGATGTTCTTAAATTCTACTCAGAAATTTGCCTTATTTTACTAATTGTTTAACATTTGGATATTTGAGTCTATCTCAAATTTATGTGAATGGTGTTCATATTCTCGATGCATATGAAATATTTTTCATCGCCTTCACCCGAAATGTCGATTTTACAATTTATTCAAGCATAGCGTTGATACAAAATCAATCGAAGAGCAATCTTGATTACGATGAAAACGAATTTTAATGCCATCGGCGCATTCCACCTCCGGTTTGTATGTCGAGTTATAAGTTCCACCATTTGACGATATTGAACTCAAACGAATCTCGTATGTATTTTGTGGTTTGATAAAAATTGGTTCGGGCAATTCAACTTTTAGTTGGTTGCCGGTCCATGTTCTATAGTTACCAGTATGAAGAGTTTTCCGTGCATCACCCGAATGAAAATGACCAATTTCAGAAATGGTGACACTGACATTGCAATGCATCGGATTATATGGCCTGTGATTATAATTGTAATTGTAATTATTACCATAGCATACATTATAATCATTTCCACCATTTGTCAAAATTGGTTGAGTCGAAAATTGTCCCAGCAAAACTGGCTTATTCGATGTAAATGAAACAATTTCTATGTTTTGGACGGTTTTTTTAACCGTATTGGATTCGGTTGGACGTGCACAATTGATGACTTTTTTTGGATTCCAAATGTATTTTCGTGGTTTTTGATTGAATATTTTCGATTCGTATTTTCCATTCGACGAAATTGTAAAAAAAATATCTTCGAATTCGTCCGATGTAAAGAGGCCTTTGTATGACATTGCGATTTCAGTGAATTCTTCGTTTGTCATCTCACCAAATCGGATCAATTTTAAGCAATCTCCCAGTTCGTTTTTCAAATTTGACGCTAGATTTTCATCTAAGACATTATGTATGCATGCATATTTGGCCCATTTTACACAAGAATCAAAGATATCGGCTTCGTTGCATGTTAGATTCAGTTTTAGAATATGTTCTAATGTTTCTTGTTCACATTGTTTAAATGCCATCGATGCAAATATTTCCTTTGGTGAAAGACTTATTTTTTCCTCACAAAATTTAATCAGTTCTTGATTTTTGAGAAATATAGCCACCTGGTAACCCCAACACATGTTATCCACATTTAATTGACTTTTTAGGAACGCGGTGCATGCATTCACATATTCAAGAACATCGTATTTATCGGCCAAACGTGCAATTGTTTCGATATTTCCCATGGTTAATGTCACTTCGTCCAAATAAAAGAATTGGAGAAACTCTCTGAATCCTTCGGCGCTGGCATCAACAATTTTAACTTCGGCGCCTTCTTTGATGCCTCCATAGAACATGGTTTCGAATACTGGACTCAGAACAGCCAACCTTGTTTTGTTTGCTGGTACTTTTTCACTTTTACCATTCACATTAAATACGAAATGAACATCGGCAAATTTTTCGTTGAGATATAGCTTTGCCGTGGCTTTAGAAGCAGCGTTATTTTTTAATTTATTCGCCATTTCAATTTCTTTCGATACGAAAAAATAGTTTACTTGATTTTGAACACTTTTTTTGATTTTTTAAGAACAAACTTTTAAGAGACGAAAACGTGTTAACCAAACGAACTCTATGAACAGAATGAACTCTATCGATATTGTTATCTGAGAATGTGTTTTCATATCTACCTACACCATTATCTGACAAATTCCAAATTTCCATTTTTTCCATTCCAATTTTCTTTGCATTCCATATAGTTGAACCAAAAGATTAACAATTCAATACAAAAACGAGACTTATCAAACTAATCCGTCTTTGAATAGTATATTTATTTTTCAAGCGTTAATGACTTTTTCTACTTTCAAATGTCCCTAAAATATTAACATGTAGGTAAATACTCGGAAAACCCCCGCAAAAATATTTTTTGTTTCGAGAGATGAATAGTTAATGTTCAGGTTTGAAATTGTTTTACAATATTTTTTTACCTGTGTACTTCGTCTGGCGTCAATTTGAAAACAGACAATATTTTGAGATATGAATGAGTAAGAATAAAAACCCGACCTCTCAATTCACCTCTTGTTTTATCCTGAAGAAATTTCCGTAAGTGAGATATAAAACGCTTCTATTGTTTACACTCCATTTCAGTGTCTGGTGATAGCTACTGATTTGAATTGCTGTTGCTGAAAATGTGTCAATATAATGTCTGACCAATAACCAAAGTACAGACGCCAAAAATGCATTGTGCTTTTGTTTTCACATTTATTGGTCTATTCGATTTATCAGAAAATTTAACAATGAATTGGATTGAATTCTCGTCTTATTTTCGCAATTGTCTCCAAATTGATATTTCCTCATAACTAAAGATGTACTCCTGTTTCGGAATTTGTCTTTATTGATGCAAAAAAATTGTAAGTCGAACAAAATACATAAAGATAAATATAATAAAAAGGTTTTACGGAGATGCTTTTGATAAAAAGATATACAAACAGTAAACAAAGGTCATACAACAAATGTAGATGAAATTATTAAAACCAAAATGACTTACACACAGTAAAATTTCTATTTCTTTTTATTTTATTTTTTTTTCTTACAAAAATGGCAACTTCCAATCGTTTCCCTGAATTTTGATATTTCTCCAAGTACATGATTTTAAAGTTTATTTCAATTGATATGGCTTCATTTTGTGTTATAATTAGGTCAATACAAAATTAAAAAAAAAGCTTAAAATAATGGGAATAAATGAATAATTTTGTTAAAATGCAATACAATAAGACAACTCTAGTTTATTCGGAGGCATTTTTTTATTTAATTCGAAATAAATTAATTCGATTTTCTTACAATTTGAATCAATTTTCTTTTAAATGATATTCAAACCCAATTGCGAGATCCAACCACATGAAGATGTATCATAGTTAACGGATGGACTTTGATGAAAGTCAATTGTGAGGCCACTTTTCATTTCGGTTGTTGTCATTGTCCACATGGCTTTGTAATAAGACTCTTTATTTGATTTTAATTTCAATCGAATTTCATATAAACAATTGGCTTGAATTAAAACCGGAGTCGGTAAAATCATTTTTGCTTTTTGTCGATCATTAGCAAGACCAGATTGCCATGATTTCGCTATGGAACCTTCGCATATAATTTTCCCTGGATATGATTGATCAGAAAATTCAGCGATACATACATCTACATCACAATTCCTTAGATCTAAATCATGTTGTGTATAAAAAGTATCTACCGAATAAATTTCACCCAATAAAAACAATTTATTTGATACAAACCGAAGGATTTCGGTGCTTTCTACATTTCGGGTTGCTCTTGATTTAATTTCCCGATAACAATTTAATATTTTATTTTCGTTCCATTTATAGCGTCGAGCATTTTGATTAAATATTTTCGATTCATATCCTCCTACGGTTTTTGAGAAAATGATATCTTTGAATTCGTCTGGAGTAAAAAATCCATCGTGTGTGACTGCAAATGCCGTAAATTCATTCATTTTCATTGTACCAAATCGGATCAATTTGAAACAATCGCCAAGTTGATTTTTTAAATGTTTCCCTTGATTTTCATCGAAATCATTTTGTCGACATGCATTTTTTGCCCATTTTATACAAGCATTCAATATATCAGCCTCATTACATGTCAAGTTCAGTTTTAGAATATTTTCCAATGTATCGCTATCACAGCGCTCGAATGGTTCAGATGCAAACACTTCTTTCGGTGATTTACTAATTTCGTTTTCACAAAATTCGATTAAATTTTGGTTTTTGATAGATAACGCCAATTGATAACCCCAGCACAAATTGTTCGCGTTCAATTGGCTTTGGAGCAATGTAGAGCATGTATTGATATATTCAAAAATATCATACTTATCGGCCAAACGGACAACGGTTTCGATGTTATTCATGCCAATGGACACTTCGCTTAAATAGAAGAACTGGAGAAACTCCTTGAATGCTTGTGCGCTTGCATCCACAATTTTCACATTTGTTTCTTCTTTGAGACTTCCGTAGAACATCTTATCAAAAACAGAGCTGAGAGCGGCCAAAACGGATCGATTTGCTGGAACCTCTTCACTTTTTCCATCCACAACGAATAGAAAGCGAACATCGGCCAATCTATCGTTGAGATACAAATTCGCAACGGCCTGAGATGCACCAATATTCTTTAATATATTTGCCATTTTGTACACTTCACGAAAAATAAAATCTTTTTTTTTTTTTTTTTTTGAAAAGAGGATATTTGTATCTTGAAAAATTATCACCAACAAATACTTGTGTTGTTACTTGTATAAAAGTTTAAAAAACAATGATGAAAGTGTGTTTCTAGTGTCTCCAAATTACCTAGTGATGAGTAAAATGATTTTTAAATAATACTGCTAAACATGTATTTGTGTGAAACTTATTATGGAAACCTTTTTTTTAGAAATGTGCCGTATTCATTTTGAGCGAAAGAGAGTACGAAAAACTAATCCGAATTTTTTGCAATGAAATTCAGCACTCACTACTCATATGGTAATTTTTTTTTGCACCTGTTAAGATTTATTGCTCTTCTGTACATCCTTTCGTATATAAACCTTATATGGCATGAAAACTTTGTTTTGTTTAATATAAATTTGAATTTTGTGTCTAGACATAACTTACTCATTAAAAATCGTTTCATTTACCTCTCGAAATTATAACCATGCAACTCCTTTTATATATTTTTTCCGCGAAAATGACCATATGATATTACCATTGAATGCGACATGAAATCAATTTACAAATGTGTTTTTAGTCCAGGAAGTGACATCGGCCACCAATCAGCATCAAAAATCAAATCATCTTATACAGAATTTAACGCTCTTCAAAATGATACTAGCCACTTTTTAATATTTTTCATGTGGAAACACCCTAGCTGCACACTCACATTCTATGTGCGTCACACACAATGCTTGTATTTTGAATGTGCACGCACACTTAGTTACAAATTTTCCAACCGCCAAAAATGTCAAACTTGTGACTAAGTATGCGTGTACATTCAAAATACAAGCATTGTGTGCGTGCACTGACAGAGTGAAAATTACAGCCCTGGGAATCAACTTGATTATTATTTTTGATACTCGAAATTTGCGAACAGATAAAACCAGACCGACATCGGCAAAACAATTACGATGTATGAGTGAAAAAAAAACTGAAAACTACTCCTTTCTACTACTTCTGCTTCAACTACTTCTATGCACGAATGTAAAGTCATTTTTTAAATGATATTTGGTTGCAGTAATTTTGAAATGACTGAAAATGCTCTTGTAGAGCTGTTTTTGGCATCGGAGAAGTGCGGACACTAGTAAGTGGCACTTCACACATGCGCGCTGGGGGGTTTTCCGGTTTGACCCCCACCTGAGGCAAATTTTTCAAAATTTACCCCCGGGTAAATATTTGGGAGATTTACCGGTTTGACCCCCCTCTGAGAATTTTTTTCTTATATTTGCTATATAAATGTATAAACAATAGGGCGGGTCAATTTTTTAAGAGGTCTGGCTTAACGAAATTCGTAAAATACATGTAATTTCAAGACTTTTTCTCCACTAGAGCATATATAATTTTTTTATTTTAGCTGTGCCAAAATTGACAAATAGTTTTTTTCCCAAATTATAAAATATGAATATATGAAATTTGAAAGTGATAAAAAAATTGTATAAAAATGATCATTTGTACTGACATTTCTAAGGTAATTTTGGACGCTGAATCCGAATCTGGCATTAAAAATACTCTAAATTCAACTATAAATAAAAAAAACGTGATTTTTGACCAAAAAATCAAAGAAATGTAGCGAAATGTTCGTTCTTGCAATTGTTAGCTCATTTTCAAGGCTTGATTCGGATTCAGCGGCCCCAAAAACCCTTGAAATGACTGTTCAAACCATAATGAATGATAAATTATTTTTAAAAAAATGCCATTTATTCCAGCATTTTGTGACTTTTGAAGCGAAAAAAGCGTGATGAATGAAGAAGATGTTTCTGGAATCATATGTACCATCATTTCTAGGGTAATTTTTGGCGCTGAATTCAAATCTGCCATTTAAATTACTCTATTTTCATAAAATCAGTGCCCTAAAAATTAAATTTGAATGAACAACTAAACAAGACTTTCATATACGAAACATTTGATGTTTATTCCTAGGGGTTTTCATGTAAGATTTTCTTTCACGAATTCGACGAATAAACAACAGTAGCGAACAATAATACATTTTAATATATATATACCAGTAATGTGCGAAGGGGGGGCCTTTTCGACTTAACTCCATTTTATCGTCTTTAATTTTCATCGATTCATCCAAATTAACGAGATCTTCACATGCCATATTTGCTCGCAACGATATAACAAATAATAAAAATTTTTACAAATCATGCAAATCTTTACCGATTTCACTATTTTGTGCCAAAAATCCACCGATATTCGCCGATATGCGAAGTGTCTTTGTTCTGGAAGTGGGCTTTGGTGGATCCTAAGGATCGTTCAGAACCGCTCCCAGGTCTGGAAGTGGACCCTCAGGATGGGTCAGGGCATTGTCAAACCATGGTCTGGTCCATTCAGAGGATCCACCAAAACTCACTTCCAGAACAATTAATTATCAAAAAATACCCGAATATTAACGATATTTTACAAATATGCCGATCTTTCACCGATATGCCAATATTTCACCGATACGCAACGATAATACGCAAATATCATCCAATAAAAATACATGCAAACCCCTAGGTTTATTCCCATATAACTCATTTGCGGAGTAATTTTTTCGATGGCGGGACTGTGCGGAGTTCGGCGGGGATAGCATGCAAATGCTGTGTGTACGAGTGCAACAGGCTGTTCATAGACTTATTTTGTCCAAACGAACATCTTAGTAGCCGTATACACAGCTAAGTTACTAATCATCTGTGTAAGAATGATACACATAGAAGTGCTGTTACCCTCGTACACACAGAGTTTGCATGTCATCTCCGTCAAACTCCGCACAGTCCCACCATCGTCAAAATTACTCCGCAAATGAATTATATGGGTTTGCATCAGTGTAGTCCAAATTCAAACTTTTAAACCTAATTTTAATAATTTTAATCAATTCATTTTGATTGAAAAATTAGAATTGATGAAATTTGAATGAAAACTGAAACAATATAGAATAATTAAAAATTATTTCAAGTCTCGTTTAAATGTTTGAATTTGGACTACACTGATGCAAAGAACATCAAATGTTTCGTCTATGAAAGTCTTGTTTAGTTGTTCATTCAAATTTAATTTTTAGGGCACTGATTTTATAAAAATAGAGTAGTTTAAATGGCAGATTTGAATTCAGCGCCAAAAATTACCCTAGAAATGATGGTACATATGATTCCAGAAACATCTTCTTCATTCATCACGCTTTTTTCGCTTCAAAAGTCACAAAATGCAGGAAAAAATGGCATTTTTAAAAAATAATTTATCATTCATTATGGTTTGAACAGTCATTTCAAGGGTTTTTGGGGCCGCTGAATCCGAATCAAGCCTTGAAAATGAGCTAACAATTGCAAGAACGAACATTTCGCTACATTTCTTTGATTTTTTGGTCAAAAATCACGTTTTTTTTATTGATAGTTGAATTTAGAGTATTTTTAATGCCAGATTCGGATTCAGCGTCCAAAATTACCCTAGAAATGTCAGTACAAATGATCATTTTTATACAATTTTTTTATCACTTTCAAATTTCATATATTCATATTTTATAATTTGGGAAAAAAACTATTTGTCAATTTTGGCACAGCTAAAATAAAAAATTTATATATGCTCTAGTGGAGAAAAAGTCTTGAAATTACATGTATTTTACGAATTTCGTTAAGCCAGACCTTCCAAAAATTCTTCCATACAAATTGACCCGCCCTAATAAACAATAACAAAAATTCACTGATTTTGAAGTCAAACTTGCAAAATTTCGGCTCGCTTCGCTCGCCAACACACATTTTTGCTTGTTTCCCTGATGCAAAATTGTTATTTTAGTTTTCCATATAAATACGCCCCTCCCCCCTCGAGACCAAAGTCAATTTGACCCCCCCTGATCAAAAAACCGCCCCCCTGATAAACACAAGAAATGATATTTTTGGTCAACGCTAACTTTATGATTTTTTAGTAATAAGAGTTAACAAAATGTTTCAATAAATAAATCTTTATTTTGATTTTTTTTTTGCTAAAACAAAAATATTTCAAAACATCCGTTTCCTTTTTATGCTGATATTTCTTACAAACATTGACCTAGAAGCGCCTAAAACTTAAACATGAAACCAGTCCACTTCGATCACAGTCGTTATCAAATGGTTTTTGATGAAATGTTACAATGAGATCATCATCTAATTGCATTTTTGAATTCCATAGTGCGCAATGGTAATAATAATCTGTATTTTCGGTTTCCATTCGAATTTCATATATTTTTTGTGAACAAATAACTATTGGCTGAGATATTGATACTCTGGTTTTGATTTTTTTAATAAGTGTCATTGTGCCTATGTAAAGTGTGTTTTTAACATCAGCTCCGGATTGGCTGCTGCTCTCTGTTATGCTTATTCTAAAATCCAGAGCAATACGATGAAAATATCGATGAAAGAGGCCTTTGCACCAAAATGCGTCCAGTACAAGTGGTTTATTTGTTGTAAACCATACAGATTCAACATTTTGAATATAATATGGTGCGTCTTCGATTTTATTTTCTCGCAAACACATCAACTCGTGATGGCTTATCCAATGGTCTGAGACTTTGGATCTCGGATGTTGTTTGAATTTAAATGAAATATTTGCCAATTCATTTGATGAGAATAAGTCACGATGTATTGTGATGATTTGAATAAATTCCTCCACTGTCATTGCGCCAAATCGAATTAGATAAAAACATTTGCCCAATTGAAATCTCAGGTTTTTCGCTTTAGTGTCGTCGATATTGTCTCGCTTACATGCACATTTTGCCCATGACAAACAGGCATTGAACACATCAATCTCGTTACACAACATTAAATCCATTTGCAAAATATGTTCAAGGACAATTCGATTGCAATGAAGAAATGAATTTGATTTGAACACTTCAACTGGCGATACAGCAATCGTTTTCTCACAAAACCGTTTCAATCTCGCGTTATCAATTAAAATGGCCAAATGGTATTCACAGCACACACTCTTTAATGTC